TACTGTTAGCCTCACAAAAAATCATGAAGAATCATCTCCAGAAGTTTACTCATCTATAACAGTCACCACTAGAAATGTTGTACAGCTTGTTTTTCAACCTCGGCACTATTTTGCACTACATTCTTTTCTATGGAGAGCTTCCCTTTGAGTGTGAGATGTTTGAAAGCATCCCTAGACTCTACCAACTAGGTAAATTTATAGCTCCTCTTCAGTCGAGACAATAATAAATGTCTCTAGATATTGTTAAATGTCTCTTGGTATTGGAAATGATTATTGTGGAGACCTTCAGTCTTACTGCTCTCCTTCCTAATGGCAGGAAAAGATCATTCCTCCCTTCATTTTCAAAGCTCTGTATTTCATCACCTCTCTCTAATACTACATTCATTGTCACTTCTGTTTCTCTGATCCTCTCTTGCCACACTTCCATTTCTAAGAAATCTTCTCATTACATTTGGGCATCTCAGTTAATTCTGCACAATCTCTATTATTTCTGGTTTGCTGACTAATAGCTTTAATATCCCTTTGCCATGTAATGTGACATATCCACAAATTCTAGGGGTAAGATGTGAACTTAGATGAGGGATCATTATTCCGCCTTCCACACAGGTAACTATTATTTGGACTTCTAGCTTCATACATTAGCTTTTTCCTTCAATTTGATATAAATGATTCGGTGCACCATGTAATCTGCTTTTGCTATCTTACTTTACTTTTGTTTTGGGGGGTGTTATGTCTGTTATCAATAGTTTGTTTTTATGATAGTGTCTGTAGTGTCCTTCTCAGGTATATTCCAAGGAATGTGAATGTTCAAATATAAAAGTAGACATTTGTTTTTAGCTCTAGCATTGTCATCAAGCTTTCCAAAGTGGTTTCACCATTTTACACACTTATGAGAAATGCAAGAGAGTTCAGTGACACTTCATTCTAGACCACATATCACATTCTCTGTCAGTTTTTAATTAGCCATTGTGCCTGCTAAGGAGTAACTTTCTCATTGCTAAGAGATGTACAATGTAGTTCAATCTGCATTTTACAGAGAGTTAAGGATGTTAAGTACATTTTCATGTTTATTGGATTTTTATATATCTTCTTTCTTGTGTTGTCCACTAAAATCATTAGTTATATTTTAATTGTATTTTTTTTCATTTTATTTTTGGATGCAGGACTTTGTTATATAACCTAACAGTTCTTTGTCAGATACATGTATGCAAATATGTACTTCCAGTCCTTGAACGGTCTTTACTTTCCTAATTATGTTATTTGGTAAATAGAAGTTCTTAACATTGAAAGAGTCCATTTTAAATTATATTCTTAGGGCTTTTTTGAATGAATTTGTATGTATTTTTTGTCTAATCAATAGTAATTTCAAAACTATCTTACCTTGTCTTTGAGAAGCTTATATCTTTCATATTTAGGCCAATGATTCACCTCAATCAGTTATTTTTCAAATTAATTTTTATACATGATATGACTATGGATCAAGGTTCATTTTGTTCCTACAGATATCTAATGGTTCAAATGCCTATTTTTGAAAATATCACACATTTTCTCCCTCATGAATTATAGTGCTGTTTCATAAGTAAAATGACCACAAGAGTATGAGTGAAAAGGCTACATATATTTTTTGCAGATTAAATAAATAAATAAGTTGATCGACATATAACATGAAGTGTAGCAGTCTTTCCCTGGAGCTAAGGAACTGCTTCTAATCCTGAAGTGGTTAATAATCCAAATAAGATATTTTCCACATTTATATTATTCTTTCAGATCCAATCATTTTATCTTTAGGGGGATCATGGAACTACGACCTTGGGTTCACTTTTGTCAATAATTCCTTATATATTTCAATAGATTTATACACTTCCCATTATAATGATGAATTCACCAATAATAAAAAATGACAGGTACTAATATTTTCTGAGGGTTCGTGGCATATCAAGCACATGATGCTCTTGTTTTTTCAGGGCTATTTCTATCACAAGCTTATAAATACACAAGAGAAATTAGTTGTCATTGTCTCATTTTTCTAAGTACATTTTTGCAGTACATAATGATTACATTCATCGTGGGGAGTTGGTACATGTACATAACACATCTGAATTATTCTTACTTCCCTTTCTCCTCCGCTCCTTCTGTCCCTCTTTCATCCATCTCTAGGTCATCTTCTCATTTGCAAATGATGTATCTCCCTGTTCTCTACTACTGCTTTTATTTTTCTCTTTATTTGTACTTTAAGCATTTTTAGATGCAGTAACCTATATATTCCACATTTTATAGATAAATGATCAGAATTATGGAGATGGTTACTTTTTAAAAGCTTATTCTGTATTAGTATTACTAAGTTTGTGGCATCTTAAAATTTTAAGTGCCTATTTTCTTTAACTCGGTTTCAATCATCCATAATTGATCATCCAGGTGGTCAGTAATCCTTCCAAAATTTGCTTGAAAACCTGAGTAACATTCTGCTCACATTTCCAAAAAAGTATAGATACTTTGCAAGTTGAAAGTTAGATTTCTGGCTTAAGAAAGGTATGAACACTGGATCTGTTCCTACTTCCTCTGTGATGCACAGTAAACCATATATCACAGGTGTCTAACCTTTTGGCTTGCTTGGGTCACACAACACTGAACGAAGAGGAAATCTTTTGGCTTGTGTGTAAAATATACATTAGAGTTATTGCATATTAAGATTGAAACCATCATTTTTAATATTTTATTAAGCTTACCAAAAATGATAGAAGCCCAAATTTAATAATTAAATGAGAAAGCCTATATATTTTGTTTGTTTGTTTGTTTGTTTGTTTTTGGTACCGGGGATTGAACTTGGATCCTTGAGCTTGCGAGGCAGGAGGCGGAACCACCAAACTAAATCCCTGGCCCCGCCTATATGCCTATTTAATAATAATGAACATCTGTCTTCACAGGCACATGCATGTATGGGTAGGCAGAAATAGTAGTATTAGTAATCGCTGAGTTTTATTTCCCAAGTTACACCATGCATGCGATGTCTGTTACACGAGGGTATTGACTTGGCTCCGTGTGGTTGACACAGGAGATGGAGTTAGCATTGCACTGTACCCTCTTGCACACAGCATTCCACTCCTACACATTCCACACTTAAGCACGATGTAGTCAAATCAAATCAAGTCATTTCAAATCAAATAATGAAAAATATTGCTAAAAATCACATACTGATATTAAAAGTCTAAGATCGTGTGGGCCTGCATTACTAGCTGTCCAGGGATTCATGTGGGCCAGAGGCCACAGGTTGGACATATTTGCAGTTCATACATCAGCAGTTCCTTTCTGATTTAGTGGGAAAAGTGATACCCGCCATGCAAGGTTAGATTGAGGATCAAATGACAGTGCCAAGTCCTTACTTAGCAGAGATCATGAGATAAAGTAAGTCCTAGGTATAAAGTATTATAGTTGCTGTTTCATCTTTGGATAGATGTAACTTCTAAATTTTCTTCTAAATTAAAATCTGCTTCTATGCCTGCGAGACAATCCAAACATAGCATTACCTTTCCTTGAATTATTTGAAACCAGCTACTCTGAGTCCCCTTATAGCCAGGCATGACTCCCACTTCTTTCAATATCACTTCAAGTGTTCTGCTTTTAAGAGATAAATCACTCGGGTCAAGGTATTTGATGTTACTTTTCTGTGTATTCTCAAAAGAAAAGATAAAAAAAAATCAGAGAATATTTGTTGAAAGAATGAATTAACTGTGTTGACACTTTTCAGTCATTGGTATTTCCTGTCAATGTCCTTCCCTTTAATTTTGAACCCATCATATCTTCTTAACAGAATAATTAAAATTTTCATCATTGTAACTAGGTTATATAGATGGTATATGCTAAGCCATTAAGTATCATATAATAATGCCTGTATATCCTAAATATGTGCTTTATTGCAAAAATTTTCACATTTCCTCCATTTCATAAGATATTGTTATATCCAATTTTAAAAAAACAAAATAATTTTATTGTTCAGTTTCTTAAACACAAATAATGATTAAGTCTAAAGTTAATTGCAAGTGAAAAACTAATTCTGGTCCTTTCTCATGTATACCTATAGCAAACATCATGTTATATAGCATAAATAAATACAACTTTTTATTTGTCAATTTTAAAATTTCCGGAAACAAAAACAACTTGAAAATAATCGGAAATATTTTAGTATATGTTATTAAAGTACACATTTTGTTAAGAAACCCAGTACCATTATCAAAACATTTTATAGTAATTATAAGATACCTAATTGATCATAAAAATTTATTTTTTATTATTTTATTTTATTCTTGTTAGTATATGTTTTTATTACATAATGTTTTACATTTCTTGTGTGGAGTTGGTACATTTACATAACATATTTTAATTCCATTTTTCATAATCTTTTCCTTCCTTCTCTCCCTCCTCCATCTTTGGATCCCCTTCCCATCTGAGAACGATCTATCGTTCAATTGATTTTTAAAGTCTAAAAAGAATGTAATTCTGGCTACCTCTCTGATGATTATAATGAAATAGTATCTTGTTCTCTTGGCTAATTTTTCTATTCTTTTCCAGAATTCCTTTTTTTATCACTTTTCTAATAGATCCCTCTACATTTTTCATGAGTTTTTATAAGAAAAAAATTGCATACTGACTTCCCTCCACCACATCAGCCAATGTGTGCATGGCAGGTCCTTCAACACACCTGGACAAATGAGATGCATGGTGGCTCCACCAGCTTCTGTGTGTCTGTCACACTCCATCTCACTGTGCTCCTACATCCTTGTTCTTCCCTCTCTCAGGGTTGAACAATTAGCCTGCAGTTTTAAGACTGTCTTTGCTCCACCTCAGAATGATATCATTGGCATAATGCCAAAGAAAACTCAAACATATAATTACAATTTCTAGTTGCACAATGCTGAGAGAAATCTTCAAAGGAGACAGAGCTGTGTTGAGATTCAGTGGACAGTTTTTAGAAGGGCAATGAGTCCAGAGTTAGGGTATCTTACTGTGAATCCAAGCTCAGGCTCTCTGTCACCTTGGGCTCCTGGGGGAGTCCTATCACTTCTCAGATTCTGCAATGGTATATTGTTGTAACAAAGTTAGTGATCATAGGTGTTAAATGTTGTGAAATAATTCTATTTTTAAAAACTCACGCCAAGACAACTATTATCATGAAAGACTAGAAAACAGAGTGCTAGTATTCTGGCAGAATTTATTCAATAATAAAAAATTATCTTATTTAATTTCTATTTATTCTCTCTTGCAAAAACATTAATCACCTGAAAAAACATCAGAAATTATAATTAATATACAAAAGTCAATCATTCCCACGAATAAATATAATAAAGAAAACATAATTGAACAAATGATTCAATACATGATTGTGATATAAACATTGAAATGTTTAAGTATAAGCATAAAAATGTAGTACCTCTATATTAATAGACAAAGACGAGCTCAGAAAAAATGTTTTTACTTAAATGAAAAGTTATTATTTTAAAGCTTTCAATCTTAACTTTTAGAAACTTATGAATTTGGATTATAGGTTATAAAGTATTTGGGAACAACTTTAATAAAAGTATTCTAAGGTTTATGTGGAAGACTACACAGTGCTGAGTATGTTATTCTTAAAATGAACAATTATAGAGGAATTATCTCCGACGGATATTAAAAATATTTTAAAGCTAAATAAGTAAAATGACCTATTACTGGGTCAGACATTCAGAGAAATACAAATAAATTTAAAGATAACTAAATTGGATGGCATATTCTGGGATTTAGGTAATAAAATAGGTGGTTAAAACAGTAAATTTTAAAAATAAAATTAATGAGTAAGTTATTCATTTGAGTGGAAACAATTCAGGTTAGATCTTTACCTTACTGATGACACCAAACCCATTTTAGATCATTAACTTAGTGACTTCCTTTCATCTTATTTTATTATACTTTAAAAAATAACCTCTGTTACCAAGTCATAAACCTATCCCACCCACCCTAATCAAACTCATATATAAAACGGTGGTGGCGAGGCTCAGCAACTCACCCAAGTGTCAACCACTAGGGTATATTACAGTCATGCGCATCTTATTCCTCATTACAATAACTTTGCCCCTTCTCCTGTTAGAATTAAAAGGTAGCAAAATGTACCACCCCAAAATACGAAGTACTAGCATGTAGATTAGAGCTGGAGGCAATTGAATAGGAGCAGGCAAAAGAAAAACCCTCTGCCCTCCCTCCTAAAATCAAGATGTAAATTTAGAAAAATGCACCGCTCTGTCCCTCCACCAGAAAGAACAAAGGATGATCTTCAGCCCTCCTCAGCCTAGATAAGGCAAGAACTGCATCACAAACTCTATAAACTGTCCTGTGTCTGCCACCAGTTTTCCACACACTTATCTTCTCAGAGTCTATGGATCCTAGAGAAGACCCAGGATCTTTCACCTTTGCTTTGTGACTTCTCTGAAAATGTATTGCTCTTTGTTAGACATGCTAGCGAGAGACTTTTAAGGCTCGTCTCTGAGTGTTACTGCTGCCCCGAGTTTTCTCCAACGTATAAACACATCTGTATACTTCTTTTTCAGTTTTCCTTTGTCAATCTACATTGTTGTTGTTGTTCCAGAGGTCCCAACATTCACGCAGAAGAGTAAAAGAAAATCATTTTTTCCTCTCCTGTATGATGAATTTTGAAGGTGGCCTTCTTCAACATTACTTACCCCAGTGTACTTCTGTACTACAGATCCTGAGCTGTGCTGAAGTTCCAGCAGTAGATAAGATTTTAATTTTTAACAGGTTCTTGGGTATGTGCCTTATCACTATTGTATATTTGATTAAAGCTCCCCCACTGAAAACCTCTACTTAGTGTCTCCATGTGAATTTTTTGTAAATAATAACTAGTCCTTAGCTAATTTGCTGAAATAAGAAAATTTTGTGTATAACATATTCAATTCACTCATAGTCTTTCCCATTTCAAATTCAGTCTGTTGATGTTAATATTTTAAACAATTAAATTATGCCTTTCATATGTTCTCACCATCTATTCCAGGATTTGAAATTAATTCTCCGTAAAAGTAAACATTTTAGACTTTGTGTGTCAAAGGATGTTGGTTGCAGCTATTAAGTTTACTAAGTTCTGCTATGGTAACATCAGAACTAGTAGGTGAACAAGTCAATGTTTCAATAAAATTGTATTTATAACAGAGGTGATGCATGAATCTATTGCTGACTATGGACCTAGTCTACCCAAAGCACTTTTTACCTGAGGCACTATCCTTAAACATTTCCAAAATACTTATATTTCACTCTTTAAAAGAAAACAATTAGTGAACAGTTACTGATAGTAATTATTTAATAATAACTGGTAGATAATTTGTTTCTGTATTTTAGATAACACTTCAGGATTTAACAAGTAGTGCCATTTTAACAAGAAAATGGGAAAATAGGTCAGTGAAATGGAGTACTAAATGCTTTAATTTTAAATGACTTACTCCACATTTATTAACATTTTCTACCAGACATGAATGCTCCATACCAGAGCCTACTCTAATTCTAAGCTAGGTAAAAACAAGAGTGCATTGATGGGCTCAGGATGATTGGAGTTAGAATTAGAATGCTGTATTGGCTAACTGTATGAACTTAAGACAAATAGCCAGATAATCTACTTTTATTGGTAAAATAGAGCTAATATGACCTTTCTTAGTAGAGTCTGAAATATTAAGCATAAAGTACATTTAGATTTTCAAAACATAGTAAATCCTTTACAAAGCTTCTGCATTATTATTGGCTAGTGATACTGATGTTTAATGTGTGAGCAGATTTTTTAAACTAACCCAATGTTTTACAACCAAGCAATCAGACCTTTCACACCTAAATTATTCACTTTGACTCTAACTAATATAATTCCATATTATCAGTTTGGTACCTTCATAATGTATTTTATTTTTACCCAACTAGATGAATCTCCTCTTACTGGGGCTTGGTTTTTCACTATTTTTCCATATGTTAATATATCAAACCTGAAAATATCAACCTTGATCTAATAGTAAGTTGTTGTTTATTCTTGTCCAGAGGTCATTCCAATACTTTCCCTTCTCTTCGCCACATCACATCAGACATGCATATTATTTAAAATGTGGAATCAAAATTGTAAGTGGTTCATATCTGACAATTCTTCTTCAAGAATTCAGCTTGTGCCTCTAACTTTTCAATTTATTCAGACTTAGTAATGGCACTAATTACACCTTCATTTCTACAGCAACAGATGCAAAATTATTTTAATAGGAGTACTATATAAAAATTAGATACTGTTTTTGTTTTTATTAGCGAACACACATTTATGGTAAAATTATAATTCATCAAAGTTTAAAGCAATCTCAGTGTGCGAATGCAGAGATGGAAGATCACCAGAGAGAATTAAGAGAAAGAAGATTGCAACTAATCATAAATTTGAGATATTAAAACATGAGAGTTGCTGAAAAAGAAATGGGCTTATTACAGTGTGGTGAGAATCAAGCTGCATTAAATGTTTATACCAAGCCTGAGTGACTACTTCTGAAGAGATGCATACAAGAAACATCAATATTTCAACTTTTAAGCCTGCTATAACCCCAAGAATCAACTACTCTCTTGAGAAGACTAAAGAAAGACAAATAAAGGATTAAAACAAGTAAGTAAATAAGAGAAATTCACTTTCTTTTTGGCCTATGTGGAGTGAGACTGAACTTTTCTTCCCACTGTAAAAATTGTAAAATACACTGAAAAATATGAGGCAGAGTAGGAAGAGTGTTCACTGAGACAATAAGAAAAGGAAATGAGCCTCATGATTGTCCCACCTTTCCACTTGGAAACACTGTTGACCTTAGGTGCATGAAATGTAAAGGTTAAAAGGTGTGAGTGGAAGCTGGAAGGGGAGGGTTGCGTCACAAGCAAGAAAGCAGAGAATTTGTCCATTGGAATCAGGGAAGGTTGAGGTGAGTAGAATTTACAGGGTACATAAGAAATGGACCTGTATAGAGGAAAAACTCCTGCAGAAATCTGCATGTGAGCTTCAGTAATCTTTGCTGAATAGAAGACATGCAAGCCAAGGTTGCATTATAAGAGGAAAATAAATGGTAATGGTGGAAGGACTAAGGGGTAAAGGCTTCTGGAAGTTTGGAATGATGGGAGACATTCACATACTGATTGGTCAGAATGCATCCTGAACATACAGACAGAGTAGTATGGATAACTCATAGAGAAAACACATTAGCATTGGTGATAAACTAGCCTTAAAGTGAAAGGCAGTTCTTCCTCCAAATTCAATACTCTTAAAAGTAAATACTTGAAAAATCAATACATTACAAATATAACTTATCTGCCTGGGAGAACAAAGTTGAACAGTTTTAAAAATATACCATATACATTGTTATCAAAACTTGGAAACAATCAAGATAACTTTAACATGTGAATGGATAAACAAACTATGATATATCCAGAAAACAGAGTATTGTTGCATACTAAGCAGAAATAAGCATTAAAAAGGAAGAAACTTAAATACATACTATTAAGTGAAAGAAGCCACTCTGGTTACACTAATAATTCTGGAGGCCATAGATGTGTAAGATCAAGGGGTATATAGTAGGTGTCTGTACCATCCTCTCAATTTTGTTATGAACATAAAGCTGAATTAAATAATTAATTCTTTAAAACAAAAGTGTGTCACAAAGTGGTGGTACTTTATGATCACAAAATGGTGGTACTTTATGATGTCACAAAATAGTGGTACTTTATGATGTCACAAAATGGTAGCACTTTATGATGTAAATTGACCTCTACACAGCATGAAAACTTAGAGTAGGTAAAAGTGACATAAACTAGAAGATCAGTTAATAGTAACAAATATAAAGTTGAATAAAATGGTTGAATCAGAAGATAAGGATTTTAAAAGAGCTACTATAAATCTATTCCCTGTGCTGATGGATTTAAAGAACAATGTGGACACCATGACAAGGGAAGCTGAGGATATAAACACAGGTGGAAAATAGTGATGAAATATATGATATCAGAAAAATAAATCACGGATGGCATTAATAATATTAAATTCAGAAAAAAAATTCAAGTGCTTATATTCCAGGACTAGAAAGTGTTCAAATGCAAATATTGTGTTTTACTTTGTCCCTGCTACTGTAACCAAATATGTGAGTCTAGGTAACTTCTTCCCAACAGTAGTTTTTAATCTCACAGGTCTGAAAGGTGGGAAATCTGGCAGGGTCACTGTCCGGTGAAGGCTGCTCACTGCTCTAAGGTGACCTCTTCTTTGTGAGTCCTCCTCAGGGGAAAACATGTCCATGTGATAAAAAGAGGAAGAGTGAAATGGCAGAAGAGCTCCCTGGCATTTCTTTTTTTAAAGGTTATTAACCCTACTCACAGAGCAGGACCCTTCATGACCTAATAATCTCTTAACACCACAATCGGGATTAAGTTTCTACATGAGTTTGGTGTGGGGCACCCTCAAGTCATAATACAAACAGAGAGAAAGTAAAGCACAAGTCAAAGAAGTTCATAGGGATAAAAGAGCCTATATGACTATATAAAATAATCTAATATACAGTCCTTTAAATGAGAGGAGAAAAATGTTCAGGAAAACTATTTTTAACCATAATCACTGAAGTTTAGATGTTTAGGGAAACTGTGAAGTGCTGAACCTTAGATACTCAAGAAAACTTGAAATGGATAATCACAAAGAAAATTACACAAAGGCATATAATAATCAGAATTTTGGAATCCATGGATGAAGAAAAATGTTATAATCAACCAGAGGAGCAGAAACTTGAGACTTGCTACATACAGAACAATTATGAGTAGATAAACACATCTTGTCGGAAGACCTGTAAACTACGTCTCAATGAAATAATTCTTTAAAGTGCCATGAATGGAGAGAGGGGGGAGGCCCTTTGAAGACATCTTTGGAAACGAAGGTAAATTTTTTTCAAATAATGAAAGGTGAGTGCATTTTGTCATCAGCTAACCTGATTAAAAGAAATAATAAGGATGTTTTCTAGAAAGAAGGAAAATGATATGACAATATGTGATTCCACACAAAAGGTTGGAGCTTGCCAGAAGTAACAAATATGTGCCTAAATATTAAAAAAAACAAAACAAAACAGGTTTTGTTTTCTGGTAATAGCAGCGCACCTTATATAAGACTGAATGTCCAGATAATAACAGTGAAAATAACTGGAAAAAAGAAAAGCCATTTGAAGATGCCTGAAAGGGGTCAAAACCAAACAAAAACTGGACAGAACTTATCTCTCAAAAAATTTTAAAAGCCATAGGAAAAATGAGACTTTGCATTATAAGGTACAATAATAATAATAATGAAAGTTAATGTCTCCTCACACATAAAGAAGGCTAAAAAATAATGAAAAGACATCTTAACAGGCTAAGATGAAAGCAACCAAATCAAACAAAACAAAACAAAAAAACACTGTCAACCTAGCATTCTATAAGTAAGAAGAATGAATTTTTTAAAGGAAGACAAAATGAAGACATTGGCAGAAAACAAACAAAAAACCTTATAGTGGATGCACCTACAAGGATTACTAAAACTCTTCAAATGTAAGAAATATAAAGGCTTTCAGAAATTTAGAACTATAGGGAAAAAAGAACAGTATTAAAAATAGTAAACACCTACATCAATGTAAAAGTATATCTTTCATCATTTCTCTCAAATTCCACAGTCTACAGTGAAAATGAAGTATGCCAACGTTAGCAAAGAGATTGAAAATGTCAAATGGAATGATTGGTTGTAAAGTTATTACAATATGTATCATGCCATATATAATTAATTCAAATTATACTATATTAAATGAAAATGCATATCACAATATCAAAAGAAACCAATAAAGGTTACATACAAACACACATATTTTTAAATATTTCATGTATTTCATATATACAGCTATGGTTATATATATGATTATATATATATATATAATATTCTAAAATACATAGCATGTTCCAAGGGCCAGGAATAAGGTTGACACTAGGAAGTTATTGTTTTTAAGGGTACGAAGTTTCACTTTGGGAAGGAAAAAATGCTCTGGAAATTGATATTTGGGATGATAACACAAAAATATGTGTGTGTACTTCTTACCATTGAACTATATACTTTAAAAAGTTAAATTATGTGTAATACACATATAATTACACATACATACACAGTGCTTTCATTATAAACAGACATAAATGGAACAAAAGGTAGTCAAATAGAAAATAAACAGCAACACAAGATGATCAAATATAAAATACATGAGCATAGTAATTTAATTTTAAAACTATATGCTATTAACAACAGACAAATTTCATGTATGATGACTCAAGTGGAAATGGATGGAAAAGATATTTGTGCAAAATAAAAATATGGAAGATGTGGCCATGTTAACATCTTAACAAAATAAATTTTATGGCAGAAAGTATTACCAGAGAAAATGTAGATTGCTTCACCATGTAAATTAATTATAATCACAAATCAAAAATGTATACCTAATTATTAAACATGAAGAAAAAAATGGAAAGTAGTATGAAAGAAATACACTAATACATCTTTTGTAAGATGTTTATCCTTCAATTCCAGTACTTTATGAGAAAAATTGGCAAAAGGTGAGTAAAAAATAAAGAAGGTTGAACACTGTGAAGCAATTTGACACAAGGGATATCTACGGAACACTAATATTACATGAGAAACAGAATATATAAGTAAAAAGCAAAATAACAGCTAGATAATAGGAAATAGAGACATAGATATTTTGCAAAAGAAACAGGAATCAAGAGATAGAGGGAAAGATTAGAGAGAAGAGGGAAAAGAGATTAAAAATAATTAAGATGTGTTACATAAACCTACCAACGTCACAAAGAATGTAATCATTATGTACTAAAAATAAGTACTAAAAAATAAAAATTAAAAAAAAAGAAACAGAAAAGGAACACATACAACTGCAGGACACACATTTCTCTCAAGTGAACTTGGAGCAGTCCCCATGGCTGAAGTATCTGGGGATGTAAAAGGATTGAACTAATCCCTCATCACAATAGAATTAAATTGTTAACATGAAAGCAAAAAGATGTCTGGAAAATTTACTAGTAGTTTTACGTCAGGGAACTCATTTCTAAATACCTACACTTGAAAGAAAACTTCACAAAGAGAATAGAATAGAATTCAATAGTATGTTAACAAAACACATTATCAAAAGTTGTAAAAACATAGCTAAAGTAAGCTTTAAAGGTAAATTTATGCACTGAAGTACCATTAAAGAAAAAAGTTTATTTTTACTTAGTACATGTGCAGTCCACCGTGATTTTCCTCGTCATGGGAAGTGGGTACATGTATATAACATATCTTAATTACTTTTTATCCTATTATCCTCCTCTACCTCTCCCCTCCCTCCATCTCTTTTTTTTTTTTTTTGGTACCGGGGATCGAACTCGGGTCCTTGCGCTTGCACAGCAGGCGGTGAAAACACTGAGCTAAATCTCCAGCCCCCTCTCTCCATGTCTTTATCCTCTTCCCTTTTGCAAAAGATGTATCCCCTTGTTTCCTCTTAGCTCTCTTTTTTTTGGTACCGGGGATCGAACTTGGGTCCTTGCACTTGCACAGCAGGCGGCGAAACCACTGAGCTGAATCCCCAGCCCTTCCTGTTAGCTCTCATGTTGCTCTTTGTCTATATCTTGCATTTCTTACATGTCTTGGTTACTTTTTCATTGCTGAGACAATACCTGACACCCACAACTTAAAGGGCCAAAGGTTTATTTTGGATCATAATTTGTAGAGAATTGAACCCATAGTTGGCTGGCTCCAAGGTAGAGTCCCATGCAGTGGGGCATGGCATTGGGGAAAAGACCTCATAGTATGGTTGGAGACAGAGAGAGAGAGAGAGAGGGAGAGAGAGAGAGAGAAAGAGAGAGGGAGGGAGAGAGAGAGAGAGAGGCCCTTCTAGCCCAAGACACCAGCAATCCACCTCCCCTGACCAGGCATCATATTTAGCTATAAACTCACCAGTGGACTAATCCACTCATGAGTATCACACCCCCATGATCCGTTCACCTCCCCAAAGCCCCACCTATGGAGGGAACATCTAGATATAAACCATAACATTATCTAAAAGAAATCATGCAATATTTATTGTTACATGTCTGATTTATTTCACTTCACATTATGATCTCAAAGTGCATCCATTTTCCTGTTTACAGATAATCCAAATTTATCCTTTTTATGGCAGAGTAATGAGTTTTAAATACATAGCTAATCTTCCACATTAACAACTCACAAAATAAAAACAAAGTAAATTGAAGACAATAAATGTCATACATAAAAGGGGAACTTATAAAAAGGAAAGCAGTCCACTCTTTGAAAAGATTAATAAAATTTTAAAAGCACTAGAAAAGTGCAAAGAAAGAGAGATCACAGATGTTCACATGATGAATTATAGGGTAAAAGTGCAAATTCTGAAGAAATTAAGAGATGATCAAGTGGAATAATATGAACACTCTCAGGCCAGTTTGATGGACAAACCAATGAAGACTTCAAAACTAAAATGCAAAAAATTAAAAATACAATGTTTATTTTTTCGAATAAATATTTTACCAAAAAGGAAAATATTTAAAACATA